TATCCTTTTACACCCCCCCCACTGCTTAAACCAAGTGGGATGGTTTTCTCCATGGCCGAACTACCATTTGACCGAAGCAAAACTGGCAATGCTGAGCCACAAAGTGAGCCGAACTATCCTTAGTTCAGCCCCTCTCTTTACTCTTCCTTATATCGGTTTCTCATCTGTTCATCCCAGTGTGTTTGGACCGAACCAACGACTCTCGACCGGTATAACTCCCAGACCGGTACACCTCTAAGGCCGACATAACTTCAAGGCCGGTCAAACTTCAAGTTTCTCCCTGACCGAAGTAACTTTATGATTCCTGAACCGAAGTAAATTTACCTTCCTGGGCCGGAATAACTTTGTTTCTCCTAGGCCGGAGTAACCATGCTCTCCTGGGCCGGAGTACCAATTACGGCCTTTTTACTTAGTCCTTTGCACTTTGGGCCTCAAAGCCCAATCACGCAGCTCGGCCCAATTCTTCCAAAAAATTACCCTCTCAATTGCCCCTTAATCCCATCTGTGCAATCATGATTGGGATTACCAGTCTACTGGCCGAGCTAAAAACCCTTTAGCCTCTCCAGCCGAGCGAAAAAACCCTCGGGCTCTCCGACCGAGCTAATTTTACTTCGGGCTTTACTTCGTCCGGTCAAAACGTCTCTTCAATCACGACTGTAACGCTTCCCTTTCCCTTGCCACGTGGCGGGCTCTGATAGGCCGTCATCTGTTATCACGCCGCCTTCGTACTTCGAACTTTTTGAACAGTCCCGTCCCTTTTTGCCGCTTTTTTCTCTCTCCTCTTTCACAAAATAACCTTTCTGCCTTTGAACCATTCACCTTCACTATTCTTCGTCTTCTCTCTCTGTGTTCTTGCCGTTCGTGCTCTTCCTTTTCTGCAACAGTTTTCATCTTCAGTCCCTTTTTCTCTAATCTGGTAAGCAAAGCTACTTTCTTTCTTGCTCTGTTTTGCTTTTCGCATCTGTATATCTTGTTTTGTATGTTTTTTGCAAAACACATTTGTATAGTTTTGTTTTGCAACTGTACTTTTACGAAAAAATAATAGCAGAGCTCATACGCGCATGAACTTCTGTAAAAAACTAGCCTTAGATCCAAAATTAGGTAGCAACCGAACTAGGATCCCGTTTGCCCGATATAGGTAGATCACTGTAGTCAATAACCGAACTAGAACTTGAAAGTCTCAAAGAGTCACCAACGCCTGACTCACTTTAGCCGAAATAAAATCACCGAGTTTTGAACATATCAAACTAGGAACCTCGGTTTTTAACCGAACTAAGCTTTCGGGGCCAAGCCAGCTTTCTTAGTATCTAAACCGAACTCAGAAAGCTGCCCCTAGAGGCTCAACCGAAGTAACTTTATTCACACTACAACCGATTTAGGCCTTGGGGCTAAACCAGCTTTCTTAGTTTTTTAGACCGAACTCAGAAAGCTGCCCCTAGACGATAAACCGGTCTAACGAGCAACCTGCTCAGACTGAGCTACCAAACCTTTTGATGAACCGAGATAGAACCAGTTTTTTGAGGCCGAAGTAGGGCTCTTATACCTTGCTTTTAAATTGTAGCACGGTCCAATGATCTGCGCTTAACCCCTTTGTTTTCTACTTTGCAGACTTAGGTTGCCCAGGCATTCCTTCTTGTGCTCAACCGAGCTACTTGAGTCCAATCTTCTGACCGGGATAACTTATTAATAATTTATACCACAAATGGGTAAGTATAGGTATCTGGTAGATACCCCAGGTGGCATGGCCGAATTCCGAAGGGATTATGGCATTCTAGATGATGTACACCTTACCCTAGCCAAAAAGGAAACCATTCCGTGGAACAACCAAGGCTTTGTCCCCTTTACTGTTTTATCTATTATAGAAACCGGACTAAGGTTCCCTGTCCAGCCTTTAATTTGCGAATTTCTTAGGCAAACCAGACTATGCCCAACCCAGCTATCCACCAATACATACCGGATAATAATGGGTATTGCCGAGCTAAACCGCCAAGCAGGCTTGAACCTCGGTTTAGCCGAAATCTTCCACCAGTACTCCATAGGTTCCAAAGATGATGGCTGGGTTTATTACCTTAGGATACGCCGACGTAGAGAAAAGATAATCAAAGATACCCCGGATAAGGATGTTAATGACGACGACTTCTTCTGGGTATCGGGCAATTTTGAGGATCACCAAGCCCAAATCCCAGGCTGAAGTATTAACTGGAAGAAAGGAGAACCTGGTAAAGTTACTCCGATTTTATGCATGTCTTTCTTTTATTTCGGTTTCAGGCGTTATGACCGATCTAACAGTCGTGTATTTTTTGCAGACTTGGCCCATCTTGCTTCCTACTATAGTTACCCACATATGAACACATTTCGAGCCGCACTACGGATTAAAGAAAGAGGTTGGGCCAAGCTTCTAAGCTTTGAACCGACCTACCGATATAGCGGTCGTCGAAAGGCCCGAGTGACCGATTTCCTTCTAGAGGAAGCACCTGAACCGGACCCCAACTTGCCCGAAATACGACTTGTCCCACTAACAGCTGAAGAAGAGATGGCGAAGAAAAGCAGAGTGAGGGCCCTTCTGACCGCAACAACCAGGGCCGAAGTACAACCATCCTTAGAAACGCAGCCCGCCGTTGTGGCCCTCCCTTCTCAGCAACCTTCTTCGTCTCGCCCTTCCAAACGTGCCCGATCAGTATCGACCGAACAGCAACTTGTCGATGAGGTCAAATCCATCCCCCAAAGTCCTCAACCTGCCCCCCAACCGGAGCAAACTGACCGAGCAGAATCTTCGAAATGGGCTCCGCAGCTGACCTTCAACGACCGAGACATCAAAGCTACTGATTCGGTTGTTGCCGAAAAAGATCATCTATTGGCTTTTAATCTGGCCAAAAGTGTGTGCCTCTCCAAGGACATGGAGCACCACCTCAAGCAATTGAACACCGAGATGAAGTCCATCCGGTCTACATCGAAGTCCATGATTTTGGTAAGTAGCTCTGTCTGTTTTTTTTTGAATTTTCCAACTTTTACTTCGGCTCAAGAGACTCTTCGTTTTGTCAGGCCTTACAGAAGAACAACGTGACTTACAAGAAAGTCCAGGAGCTTAGAAAAACCACAAGGCAGGCAATGGTTGAAGCCGAAGCAAAAGCGGCCGAGCTAGAAGAAGCCGAAAAGAAAATGGCCGAGCTACAAGCGGAGAACGGCCGTCTTGCCGATCTGGTTAGTTCGGCTGAGGCAGAGAGGCAGAAAGCGGCTATTGCTATGAAGGACAAATATCTGCGCGAGCTGGTAAAACTTGAAAAGAAAAAAGATACCGAAATAAGCCAACTAAAAAAGAGCGTGGAGGCGGCCGAAAAGCAGGGTTACAAGCAGGGTTACAAGAAGGCGGATGAAGCATATGTGAAACAGTGCGATGCTGCCAAGGAGTTGTTCTTCAAGTGCGGCTGGAGGGCGGCCGTTGAGAAGCTCGGTCTTGATCCACAGACCGAGGTTTTCAACCCTCCAGCCTATTTTATACCGAGCTCTCTTGCGGACTACGCCAATGCTCATTGATTAGGAGGAGTGGAAGAGTCAGAATCCGA